TAGCAAAACATCTCTAACCAAAAAGAAAAGAAGTCCAGTTGCCATGACTCAACCTCCAGACTATGACACTAAATGTATATATAGGTGGCTCAAACATTGCACTCAAAGAATGCTCACGGGTGAGTCTTCATCAAATTGGCAAAGGGTATTAGGTGGGATGCCATAAGGTTTATTCCTTATTATAATCCTTAACTTTTGTATTAATGGATGAAGAGGTAGAAGGATTTTTTTCAGATTCACTGTTGACACAAAATTGGACGGATAGCTAATACCTTAGAAGTCAGAGATAAAATCTGAAACCATTTCAATAGCCTAAAGAAAAAAGTTAAAAAACAAAAACAGAATGAGACAAAGAGACAAATGCCAAGTTTTTTTTTACTTAAGAAAGAAATTAAATGAACTGGTAGAATGTGGGGCATCCCTGGGCTGGTGATAGTGCTTGTACAAAAGATCTTGGAATGGCAGTTGATTACAACTTGAATATGAGTCTGTAGGGGAAGTCATAGTTTTACTATATTATGCTCTCAGTAGACCCGGCCTAGAATAACTGTGGTCAGTTCTGAGAACCACACCTTAAAAAGAATTTAAACAAACTGAATTCAAGGGATCTGGGGACTAGAAACTAAGTTATACTAATGGAAATTGATGGAATCTTTACCTCAGAGTAGAGAAGACTGAGAGGGAAAAATGATAGTTTTCTTCATGCACCTGAAAGGATGTCACCCACAAAAAATGTCATCCAGAGGGCAGGACATAGAATACTGATTTTAAGTTACAGAATGGCAGATTTCAAGGAAGCGTTTGGGCAAAAATCTTATTAGAGCAATTTGACAGGAGATCCAGTTCTCCAGAGAGGTGTTGGAGTTTTCTTCATGGATACATTCAAGTAGAGCCAAACAGCCTTCTATCAGGGATGTGTGAAGTCCAAAATATCTGGAGGACCCCAGATTGCCTACCCTGTCCTTCTAGTAGAGATAATACTTACTAGTATAGCCATTGTGGCTACGTTCTGAACTGAATAAACAACCTCTAGTATTGAGCTTCAGGGTTTAGTGACCATGATCTAGATAAAAGATTTTTTGATGTTTCACTGGCAACTGTGGCTGACATCTTCAGAGGCAAGGTGGTCTGCTAATACCTCTAGTATTATACTTGCTGAATGAGTTTTTATTTTGCATGCCCAGTAACTTTACAGGGATGCTTTGAAGAACTTGAATGAATTACTGGATGAATAAATAAATGACCTACTTATTTAATGGGCTTAGGTGCAAATTTATCTTTGCTCCTTGTTTAATATCCCTTTAAAAGGCAGCATTAAGAAAGAAGCCATCCAGAATGTTGCAGTTAGAATCAGCAACAAGGCAATAATACCATTTGTCCCTATTTAAAATCCTATATATAATCCCTTTAATTTACTTTAGTCACCACTGACTTGACCTATGACTTATTCATACTGAGGCACATAATGAATTTACAGTAAATGTTTAGAACTGGTAATGTCCCACTACTTTTCACCATATGGACATATTCCTTATTTTTTTATCACAATGGCAGTCTGCTCTTTCTCCTGCTTCCCCATTGGAATTAATTACCTCTTGTGCAATACCCTTGGTGATAATAATAAAAAAAATAATGACTTCTGGTTGCCAAATGGTTCTAATGCTATTCCTTTCCTCCGTAAGGCGGTGTGCATGAGGTCTTAGTTAATAGGAACTGCTCCCTACAGAGCAACAAACTTTATTGCTTCCACTAATAAATGTTAACATGTTTGGTTATATAAACCTTCCTGACAGGATTTAATAACACAAATGGTTTACCTACAGTAGACTTTCCCAAGTGAGAGCCCTCCAGATATGTGGAATTCAGCTCCTAGAATTCCTAAGCACTATGGGTGGGAATGATCGATGTAACCCTGCACATCTGGAGAGTGCCAGGTTGGGGAAGGCTGGCCCATAGTATTATAATGTGCTTGCTCCCAGGTCTTTTCTGTGGCCTTTGCTAAGGGTTCAGTTGTGTAACTCCCATATGAGCAATTACTGGATAATATTCTGAATTGTGACAACCTTCTGTGCATTGATTGAATGTACTTATGTGTCGGCACTTGAACAACAACACATGCCATGGCAAATGAGTGGAATCCCTGGAACAGAGAAATCCTCATTATGCAGCATTGCTCTCATAGTGGCAATGTGTGGGCGGCCATCTCTGTAGGCAGAGGGGGAAGCCAGGAGAAGGGAAGAAATTCCACAGCAGAACAGCCAACTTGCTTAGCTTCTCAGGAAAAAAGGAAGAAATGTTGCCAAGTTAAATCTAGAAGCAATCCTGATTCTAGTTGCTATTCCTTCCACATCCATGTGCTACAGGAATGCTGGGGCAACATTACCAGGTGGCAGCCTACCAATAGGTACTGCACATTGGCCATGTTAAGACTGGCCAAGTAAATATCATCATGAACAAATTCAGCTTCAAGTGACAATCATCTAATGAAAATCAAGTGAAGCTTTCAGCTACAATCAGCCACAAATACAAATTAGGACATATCAAATTTTTATAGTTATTATTCTGTGGAGTAAACATGTTGAAACCACAAATCTACATAATGGTCACCAATTATGTCACCACCCATGGGCTGGTTTGGCTAGGAGCAAGTGGGTTAGAAATATGAGAGAGAGAGAGAGAGAGAGAGAGAGAGAGAGAGAGAGAGAG